GGCTGTGGGGGGTGGGGCTGTGCAGGCCCTGCTGTTGTGGGAGCCCACTGGGCTTCCCCTGGGTCATACTGCCCTTGCTTCCTGTCATTTTTGACAGGAAACAAGGGCAGAGAAATATTAATTTTCTAAATTTTTTAGGGTCCTTGCAGGCCAGATAGAATGGTCTCATGGGCTGAATCCAGCCTGCAGGCCGTATTTTGCCCACCCCTGCAATAGAACAATACCCTGTTAATTGTTTTTGTTCCTGATGTATGTTCTGAACTCTGCCAACTCTTTTTTTTCACTGCCTTCTCCACATCTTTTACCAATTTTCTAGAATTTCTAGCTTGTAATTTTTCAGCCTCCCCTTTTTTCCTATGTGATTTTTTTTTTTTTTTTCTTACTATTTTCCTTTTTGTACCTGCTTTTGATTCCCCTCAAAGTCATCAAGGTGGTTTTTAAAAAAAAATTACAACAGATTAGCAATCTCTCTCTGTTTTGGTTTTCTGGGTTCCTAGTGAAATATTAATTGGTTTCCAATTATCATGAACACTTTTATGTTTAGATTCTTTCTCCCAAAGAGAGACTAAAATATTCAGTTCTTTATGTGCTCTCTCACACCATCAAGGAGAATTCTTAGCTCCTAAGATGGTAGCAAACAAAGCTAGCTTGAACTTTAAGAACTTAAACCCAGTCCACATTTCATTTCTTGAAATTGGGAATATGTTAGAGTGAGGTTCTCTACCCATGCTTTGGCTTCTTTAGAGTGGGTTAAAAGACCAAAATCACATAAAGTTCCCCCTAAACATCCTTTATGTGGTTGGGGGAGGATTTCCTTAGTTCAGCTACTGAGAAAGGTAGTCAAAAGTCTGCTTCCTAAGGATGCCCTCACAAATTCTGATGTACCAGGTATGCTAGGGCATGCAGTGAAATTCTTGGCAGTTCTGTTTCCCATAAGGCAGCCATGGCGAGCTGAGAGAGGACAGGGGAAGTTGTCCAGCTCAGGGTTGGTAAGGTACAAAGTGGGATGTGAGTTGTATGCTGTGCCCCAAGAAACGGAGCCCAGAATCTCATCCCAAACATTATGGAATGTTGAGATGTGAAACCTGAACTCCTGTACCATGCTACCTTGTGTATGTAATGTGAATACTTCTGGTCTTTTCAGTGATGTACCACATGTTGGCAGTGGAAGATATTCTGTTCCCATTTCACGTTATGTGGCTTTAACATTTAATGGCATGGTCTAAGAGAGAAGCCCTACGCTTGCAGCATCCTTGGTGACATTTGGTTGCCTCCATAGAGCAGCAGGCGACACTAAATCTGAGATGCTCTCTGCCCTCTGATAGTGTGGAAGCACCAAAGGGCTGTACTATGACCAGGGATCCTGGTTTTCCCTGAAAAAAAAAACCTAATTCCCTGGTAAAAAACCCAAAATCAGTGATTAGAATTAAAGCCCAGCTCCCCTGGCCTTGCTGGTGCCCCTCGCCTCCCACCCACAGCCCCAGGTCCCCCAGCTGCCAGAGCTATGGACCCGGGTCCACGGCCCCCTAACCCAGCTTCCCCCTGCTGCGGGCTCTGGTGGGCTGGCTCCCCGCCACCACACGGACTCCCGGGGGGGAGGGGGTTCTGCACCCCCCAGATCTGTACCTGGGGCAGGCGCAGGCTGCGGGCTTGAGCTCCTGCCCTGCTTTCATCCCCCCACAGCCTCCGGAGCCCAGCAGGTATGACCTGGCATGGCTGGGGATCTCCTAGCTGCTGCTGGCAATGTGCCTCCAGCTCCTGCTGCTTTGAGGTGTGCACATAAGAGGCATGTTGCCGGGGCAGCCGGGGGGTGATGAATAGCAGCAAGGAGATCCTTGTGTGGCTCCACTGCTGCCTTCTGCACCGGGTTGTGTCCACCGGGCTCCGGAGGCCTCGGGGGAGGAAAGCAGGGCAGTAGGGAACAGCAGCTAGCAGCTTCTCCACGTGGCTCCACTGTCCCCTGCCACCCTGCTTCCCTCCCCTGTGTGGCTCCGGTGGCCCTGGGGGAGGGAAGCAGAGCAGAAGCCTGCAGCCTGCACCTGCCCTGGGTACAGATCTGGAGGGCACAAGTCCCCTCTGCCCCCAGGAGTGAGTGCAACAGGGGAGGCCGCCCTTCCCCTCCCCTGGACAAGCCACTCATGGCTCCGTCCTGCTCCCTACTGGGTCCCTGCAGCTGTGCATTGCAGCCCCAAGTCCCACCCAGCCTCAGCCCTGCCCAGCTCCCTCTCTCTTCCACTTAACTCTGGAGCTGCTCTGCAATCTGCCTGCGGCCACGTGCATGTCTGTGCACCTGGCACCCCCTGTCTCTCTGCCTTCCTCCCACTCTCTGCCAGCCTGCAGGGAGCTCATTGCAAAATGGCAAAATCCTCGGGTATCTCTTGTAAAATGAGAAATCTCAGTTTGCCTCTGGTAGAAAGTAAAATCTGCGGTTTACTCCGTTTTTCCATGGGAAACGGAAAACCCAGATCCTTGATGATTACTTAACAGTTTGTTGTTGTTATCACAGCAGTATTGCTTGTGCTCATTGCTTTGCATTTTAACAGGAACCTCCTGTTTTTCAGATGCAGAATGAGGCACATGTTGGATGTGTACAAGCATTATGTTTTGATCATCCTAACTGAGCTTAGGGAGAGAGAAATGCCTAGGTGTGCAAACATTTGCAAGGCTTAGGTCACCCTAAAAATCTAATGTTAGTTCTCATCATATGAAAGCCAACTTTAGATTGGCATGGGGTTAACCTGAGCTAGCAAGGGTTAACTTGGCCTAGTGAATGCTTGGATGGGTCCCCAAAACAGCTCAGATGCTGAGAAAGCCCAACCATTCTCTGAAGCTTCAGGGATGAGCTGTTTTTACCACCCCTCCCATCCTCCTACCGGACTTACCTGCTTCCAGCTGCCTGCACAAACGTTTGCGCATGGCAATCCTGACTCGGGTTTAGGTGGCTTAAACCAAGCTGTCTAGACCTGAGTCAGGTCTTCTGAGTGCTTGTTTGCACCTATAGTCAAAGAGGAGAAATGAGAGTTTCTAGAACAGCAGCAGACATGGATGCATGTTGGCAGGGAACAAATTTCTTTTCTGCTCTTATCACGAGGTAGTGAATGGTCTTGGATATATGACACATGCCACTGCTGAGACTGACTAGTTCTGGAGTCTGTAAAACCAGTAATGGAGGAAATAAATCTATAGGACATGCTCAGTTAGCCAAACTCTCAGTTCTTTGAATGGTGACTTAGTTTTACTAACTGGTAACCACTGTTGTTGTGTAAAACTATTCTCTTTTTAAACTTCATTGAATTCAGTACTGTATTTGTACGTGGGTTAGAAAAATAATTTTATGGATATTGTGCAATAAATTAGTCTTTCAGTTTTACTGTGAATTAATATTTTGACTGGTATGGATTTAATGATATGTATCATGTGTTAGCCTGTAGCATTCTTCACAGGTGAAAATGTAGTATCTTACCAGAACAAGTTCAGCTGGAAAAGAGAGGCTGTACTATATTGTTATTGATATCCTGTTCAGTTGCATCATTTGGAAGATACCCACAGCATTGCCACAATTTGGAAGCAAAAGGATCTAGATCTGGATAACCTCAGGAAGTTCTCACTATTCCGTTATAGACACTAGGATTATTTATATAGTGGGCATTTTCTTTATTCAGTGAACAGTCCTGTGAAATATGGTCATTACACAGGTTCTGAATTTGAGAAGCTATACATGTGATCGTGCATGCCACTGTGCCTGCATGACTTCTTGCTATGCTTTGCAATTCTTTGCTTAACTTAAATGAAAATCAGCTCCTTGAAGTCCTGGAGTTCTTTGCAGGGAGATTGACTCTGACTTGTCTATCCACCTCTAGGGAAATCTTGAAAAAATCTCATTTGATTAATTTTTTTTCCACCATAACCCAAACAGGAGTCGCAGCATCAGCCAAAAGCACTGCACATATACCAGAATTTTTTTTTAGAGATTTAAAAGGCAAATGAGCTCATTAAGGACAATCCTATTGGCAACTGATTTCATATGCAAGGAACTGAGATATTAAATGATGGGCATTGCTATGAAACTCTAAGATAATTTACTACACATTTGGAATATTCTCCCTTACCTTATATCAAATGTTGTAACCTTATTTACAGTTGTGTTTTGTTTGTTTGTTTGTTTGTTTGGAAGATTTTCTGTTTATACAATAGTGGCATTTTAATTTAGTTCATGTACAGAATATTTTATATTGTGTACAAGTAGAATGTCTGTTACTTCCTAGTGACTTGCTTTGTGTGGCTTTAAAAATCACGTCTGACTCAACATGCAAAACCCATTCAGAAATACTATTAGAGTTTTAATCATAATGCTTCTTGTTTTTTTTTTTTTTTAATTTTTTTTTTGGAACTAGATCCATATAGAGCACATATGAACAAAGAACTGGAAGAAAAAGAAATAGAAAACATTTCAGCATGTTCTAAAACTACAAGTCAGTTGAAGGTAATATTGTCTTGTTGCCTAGTCCTGAGTTTATAGCATAATTGGATTGTTGGTGAAAGTTAGTTCTTTTGTATGTATTATTATTCCACAGTTGCATAGTTGGCACTGGACTAGATTCAGAATGTTTATTGGGTGGTGGAACTGGTGTTGTCAGTGTTCAGATAAAATCCCAGCAACAATTCATTCTTCGTTTATCTCAAGCTAAAGTCAAAATCAAAGACCAGTTCCTGCAACTGATATACGTGAGTACAGCTGAGAATCTAGGCCTTAGGGTCCAGTTTGTAGTATATTGAAATCAGTAAAGGTGTTGAGTTTTGATGAGGGTAACATTAGCCGTTCCAGGTCTGATTTTTTGGGGTGTGGGGTTGGGGGGTGACGAGCAATTTCTGTGATAGGCCTCTGAGCTGAAATCCTGTCATTACCATTTGAATTATCCAGCTGGAAACTTTGATCTTGTTCTATGGATTTTAAGATAGGAAAGGTGGCTAGACTAGATTCAAGGTGGGCAAGATCTGGTCCAGCAAGGAATTTTATCTGGCCTGTGGTGGATCCCTCAGCCTGGCCCAGGCTCAGGGTACAGCCCAAACCACGGTCCATGCAGCTAGTGGTGCATGCAACCCACTGCACCCTGGCATGCAGCTGACTCCCCGGATACTGTCCCATCTGTCCTTCACCCACCTCTAGGGGGTGCCAGACAGTGGGTGGGTGGGGTCTCAATGGAGGCCAGCCTGGGACCCGTGCAGGCATGACACGCTTAGCTGGGTAGATGGGATGGTGCCCATCCCCATGAGAGGACAGAAAGCAGCATTTGGGAGCAGGATGGCCAGGGCTGGAATTGCAGGGCAGTGATAATGCAGGGCTGGGGGCCAAGGCATGGGGCAGATCTGCAGTCCACTCGGGCAGTGGATTGTGGCTCTGCCATGGCCCGCGCTGTCACCGCCCTGCGATCCTGGCCCTGGCCTTGTCTGCCCATTCCACTCCCAGACACCACTCCCCACCTACTTGTGTCCCCAACCCATCTGTCCACCTGAGCATGCTCTGCTTGTGTGGGTCCCATGCCAGTCTCTGTGGAGACCCTGGGATCACCAGGCAGTGACAACATGGAGTTTTGGTGAGCTGTTGCAGGTTGGGGAAAGAAAGGGATGAAGATTCTGACTTGGTCTGCAACACCACACCAAAACTCTCTGAGTGGCCCTCCAGCCCAAATAATTGCCTGCTCCATGGACTAGAGAGAGAGTTTCAGAAACTCAGGTTCATCCAGGGCTTTAACCCTGGGCATGTGGCATCCAAAGCAAGAATTAGAGTAAAAAACCAAAGAGCCCTGGCCCAAATCACTATGCTCTGATTTAAGTTTTTATAACTAAACATTTTTCACTAGGGCATCTTGTATGGGGGATGGCAATGAAGTGAGTCCAACATAGCTCACTGACAAAAGGGAACTCCTCTGGGATGCTCTTACTGAAATCTGTAGGTGTGGTTTAAGGGCCCCTCTAGGTGAGGGCATAATAGGATCTCACGCGATTCACACAATCGCTCCTCTTGCTGTACTGTATATGCATGGCTGGAGGTGTGACTGTGGGATCCAGTGTCAGAACCAAGCACACCTTATTGCTGGTGCAGAGGGAGCCCAGGATCATGCAGCAGCTTATGATGCACCCCTACAGCTAGGAGCCCCCAACCACAGGCGTATAGCTTCTTGCTCCACATTCAAATTTTAAAGCTGGATAGAAACCAGCTATGAACTTGTTACACATTTTCCAGCTCTAACTTTAACTTTATAGCTGAATGAAGCTTCTTAAGGTGTGATTAGTTAATTTGCACATGTAGCCAGTCTAAATTAATTTTGCAGTTAACCAGTTAATTGTGTAAAACATGCACAGGTTTCCCTCGCATTATGCAGGTTCTGTATGTGCAAATTTGCTCTTATGCAAGGACTCTTTGGTTTAAAAAAAAAAAAAAAAAAAAATTCATTATCTGCAAGGTAAATTCACTCTTTTGTAACTGGTGTGGTGGAAGCTCACAGTCATCTGCTTTGTGTGGTGCATTGTGGGAGTGATGCATATCAAAATATAGTCTCATTTGTGGATCTGTGCCCCTCATTTGTTGTGTGCGACACGTCTCTCTGTAGGTGCCATCCCCATTATGGCTTCTAAGTGTCCCACTAACTTATCTCCTACCCCTCTCCCTGGTCCATCAATGAAGCGCAAGAGAACTTTACTAACACTTACAGGTGTCCATCAGATCACCCCTGAGCCTGCGCTTTTCTAGGCTAAAGAGCCCCATAGCTCTCAGCCTGTCATTGTAAGGTCCGTTTTCCTGACCTCTGATCATGCGTGTGGCTCTTCTCTGGACTCTCTCAAGCTTCTCCATATCCTTTTTGAATTGTGGGGCCCAAAATTGGACGCAGTACTCCAGCTGCAGCCTCACCAAGGCCAAGTACACGGGGAGAATGACGTCCCAGGATTTGCTTGAGAAGCATCTATGGATGCAAGCCAGCGTTTTGCTTGCTTTACTGGCCGCAGCATTGCATTGAAGGCTCATGTTCATCTTGTGGTCAATGATGACCTCCAAGTCTTTCTTCCGTAGTGCTAGCCAGCGTAGCACTGCTGAGCCTATAAGGATGCTGCAGATTTTACCTCCCAAGGTGGACAACCTTGCATTTTTCAGTGTTAAACACCATCAGGTTCTCGTCCGCCCGTTTGCTGAGCCTGTCTAGGTCAGCCTGGATCGCCCTCCTGTCTTCGGGTGTGGATGCTTTGCCCCAGAGTTTGGTGTCATCAGTGAACTTGGCCAGTCCGCTTCTGACTCCAATGTCCACATCATTAATGAAGATGTTGAGCAATATGGGTCCAAGGACAGAGCCTTGGGGGACCCCACTGGTCACAGGACACCACGATGAGTGACTTCCATCAATTA